TTGTTGATGCATCACTTCAATCTCTTGCCCTTCATACCTCCTTCTCCTCTGTGTTTATCCTTTTTTGTGTTTCTTTCATTGTTAAATTTAGGGCCCACCCTAGATCCAGGATGATCATCTCAGTATCCTTTAATTTAATCATGTTTGCAAAACCCTATTTTCAAATAAAGCAGCACTTATAGTTACCAGGGGTTAGCAGATAGACTTATCTTTTTGAGGACACTTTTTTTGTTTTTTTTGTTTGTTTGTTTTTTGTTTTTGTTTTTTTTGAGAGGAAGTCTCGCTCTGTCACCCAGGCTGGAGTGCATTGGCGTGATCTCGGCTCACTGCAACCTCAACCTCCCAAGTTCAAGTGATTCTCCTGCCTCAGCCTCCAGAGTAGCTGGGATTACAGGTGCACATCACCATGCCCAGCGAATTTTTGTATTTTTAGTAGAGATGTGATTTCGCCATGTTGACCAGGCTGGTCTCAAACTGACCTCAAGTGATCCGCCCACCTCGACCACCTGAAGTGCTAGGATCACAGGCGGGAGCCACTGTGCCCGACCTGAGGGCACTTTTTAACCTGCTAAAGATAATATGGAATTCTTGCTGTTCAGACAGAGTTTCGCTCCTGTCACCCAGACTGGAGTGCAATGGCGTGATCTTGGCTCACTACAACCTCTGCCTCCCAGGCTCAAGAGATTTTCCTACCTCAGTCTCCGAAGTGGCTGGGACTACAGGCACACGCCGCTGCACCCGGCTAATTGTTTTTTGTTTTTTTTTTTTTTTTTTTTTGTAGAGATGGGGTTTTGCCATGTTACCCAGGCTGGTCTGGAACGCCTGGCTCAAGTAGTCTGCCCACTTGGGCCTCCCAAAGTGCTGGGATTACAGGCATAAGCCACTGCACCCGACCATGGCATTCTTGTGCAATATATAAATATATAGAGGTGCAAAATAAACTGTATGCTAATATAGTGCATGGTATCCCCTTTCATAAGAACCCTCACTAGACAACCAAGGAAGCCAAAGACTGAAAACTACAAAACATTTCAGAAAGAAATGAAAGATACAAATAAATAGAAAGAAAGCCTGTGTTCATGGATTGAAAGATTTCGTAGTATTAAAGTGTCTATGCTACCCAAAGCTCTACAGAGTCAATGAAGTCCTTATCAATCTCTGTGGCACTTTTTACAGAAACAGAAAAACCATCCTAAAATTCAAATGGAATCTCAAAGGACCAGGTCTCACACTTCTTTATTTCAAATCATATTACAGTGCTATACAGTAATCAAAACAGTATGGTACTGGCATAAAGATAAATATGTAGACCAATGGAACAGAGTGGAAAACTTAGGAAAAATACCTTCACATAGCCATCAAATGATCTTTGACAAAGGTTCCAAGACTACACAATGGGGAAAAGGATAGTCTCTTCAATAAATGGTGTTGAATAAACTGAGTATCATGCAGAATGATAAAACTGGACCTTGCACAAATGAGCTCGAAATGGGACCTAAACATAAGACCTGAAACTATAAAACTCCTAAAAGAAAAGATCTGGAAAAAGCTGTATGACTCTAGATTTGGCAGTTATTTCTTAGTTTTGATAACAAAAGTACAAGCAACAAAAGCAAAAATAGACAAATGAGACTAAATCAAACTTTAAAACGAGTACATGGCAAGGAAAGTCAACAGAGTCAAAAGGCAACCCACAGAATGGGGGAGAATATTTGCAAGCCATATACCTAACAAGGGGTTAATATCCAGAATGTATACAAAAAACTTCCACAACTCAACCACAACAAAATAAATGATCCAATTTAAAAATGATTCAAAAAGACTTAAACATTTCTCCAAAGAAGGTATATGAATGGCCAACAGGCATATGAAAAGATGTTCGACATCACTAATCATTAAAGAAATACAAATCAAAACCACATGAGAGGTTACCTCACATGTTAGGATTGCCACTACCAAAAAAGCAGAAAATAACAAATGCTGACCCAGGAAGTAGAGAAATTGGAACTCTTCTGTACTGTTGGTCAGTATGTAGCAATGGTGCAGCTGCTATGAAAAACATTCCAAAGGTTCCTCAGAAAATTAAAAATAGAATTACCTAATTGCTCTGGCTAGGCTTCCAGTATTATTTTGAATATAAGTGGCAAAAATGGACATCCTTGTTCCTAATCTTAAAAGAGAGACCACCATCTTTTCACCATTAAGAATGATGTTACTTGTGGGCTTGTCACAGGTGGCTTTTATTGTGATGAAGAATATTTTGTCTATACCTAATTTGTTGAGTTTTTATCAAGAAATAATGTTGTCTTTAGTCAAATTCTTTTTCTGCATCTGTTGAGATGATGTGGTTTTTGTCTTTCATTCTGTTAATAAAGTGAACCACATATATTTATTTGCGTATGTTGAACATCATTGCATCCCAGGGATAAGTCCCACTTGATCATGGTGAATAATCTTTTTAATGTACTCTTGAATACAGTTTGCTAGTATTTTGCCAACATAGTACTTGAAGTCCTAGCCAGAGCAATTAGATATGAAAAAGAATTAAAAGGCATCCATATAGAAAAGGAAGAAGTTAAATTATCTGTTTCCTGATGCATGATCTTATATAGAGAAAAGCTAAAGACTCCACCAAAAAAGTGTTAGAACTGATTAATGAATTCAGTAAAGTTGCATGATACAAATCAACATTCAAAAATCGGTAATCTTTCTAATATACTAACAATGAACTATCTGAAAAAGAAATTAAGGTAATATGATTTACAAAAGCATCAAAATATCTTAGGAATAAATTTAACTGAGGAGGTAAAAGATCTGCACACAGAAATGATAAAACATTGATGAAAGACATTGAACTTAGCACAAATAATTGGAAACATATCCTGTGTTCATGGATTGGATGAATTAATATTGTTAAAATGTTCTTACTCCTCAAAGCAATCCACAGATTCAATGCAGTGCCTACCTATCAAAACTCCAATGTCATTCTTTACAGAAATAGAAAAATAATTTAAAAATTTATATGAAATCATAAAACACCCCAGATAGCCAAAGCAATTTTGAGCACAAAAGAACAAACCCATAGGCATCACACTACCTGATTTCAAAATATATTGCAAAGCTGTGGTATTCAAGACAGCATGGTACTAACACAAAAAGAGATACCTCGACCAATAGAATAGGATAGAGAGCCCAGAAATAAATTCATGCATTTATGGTCAATCAGTTTTTTACAAAGATGCCAAGAACATATGATGAAGAAAGTACAGTGTCTTCAATGAATATTGTTGCAAAAAATGGTATATACACATGCAGAAGAATGAAATTAAACCATTATCTCACCCCATGTGCAGAATCAACTGAAATTGGATTAAAGACTTAAACCTAAGACCTTAAACTGTAAAATGGCTAGAAGAAAATAGAAAAAGCTTCACAACATTAATCTCCACAACAGTGAATTTTTTGGATCTGACCCTAAAAGTACAGGAAACAAAAGCAAAACTAGGCAAGTGGAATTGTATTAAACTAAAGAGCTGCACAGCAAAGAAAACAACAGAGTGAAGATGCAACCTACAGAGAGTGAGAAAATATTTGCAAATCATACATCTTGATAAGGGGCTAATATCAACAATATGTAAGGAACTCAAATTACTCAATAACAAGAAAACAGTTATATTTAAAAATGGACAAAGAACCTGAGTAGACATTTCTTGAAAGAAGACATGCTTTATTCCACTACCACTTTAATTTTACCTCTGAGAAGACCTTGGACAAAGAATCATTCCCTGGTGGCTTTGATCTGTTTTCTCTAACAACTCTTGACAAATTACTGGAAAGGGGTGTAGTAGCAAAGGTCTACTAACACATCAGGGTCTGTGGATTAAGAGCCTTTAGTTGAGAAAAAAATGGCTCACTGTAGTCAAACTAAAGAATGAATTTAGATCTGTGTATGATACTCTTTTTACCAAAGAATTGAAAATAAACTTTTGTTTTTCAGTATATAATTTGTATTTTTTTCTCAGCCATTGTCTCACATCCTGCGAATCTAGAAAATTTAGGATTAAAGGTAAACTAGTTTAAAAAGTGGCTATTGGCCGGGCGCAGTGCTCATGCCTGTAATCCCAGCACTTTGGGAGGCCAAGGTGGGTGGATCACCTGAGGTCAGGAGTTTGAGACCAGCCTGGCCAACATAGTGAAACCCTGTCTCTACTAAAAATACAATAATTAGCCATGTGTGGTGGAGGGCGCCTGTAATCCCAGCTACTTGGGAGGCTGAGGCAGGAGAATCTTTTGAACCTGGGAGGTGGAGGCTACAGTGAGCTGAGATCATACCACTGCACTCTAGCCTGGGCGACAAAGCAAGACTGTCTCAAAAAAAAAAAAAGGGTTTGCTGCTTAGGTTTTGTTTTTTAATTTAATAATCCATTGATTACTGAAAAACATGTTTTAAATGTTTAAAGTATAAATAATACTCCAGCCTTTAGTAGGTATAAATGTATCAGCTTTTATAGTTATAAAAATAGTGTCTTACTTCATCTGATTTATTTGGAGGGATAGAAAAAACTAAGGATTATGGATAACAGAAGAGGGCAAAGACTAAAGTAGATGTATAACAATATTTTTAATATCTCTTGTTGACCTGGCTAAAATGAAGATACTTTTTAAAATCCATCCTTTTTTGCTTTTAAGAAAACATTTAAAATTAAATTCAAGTGCTGATTTAGCGTAAAATTCTATACTTTTATTATTGAAAAAGCAAATCCAGAATAGACTAACCTTTTGTATGTTCTCAAAATAAAATAATATGACTCCTACTTTCTATGATGGCTGTATAATACTTTTTACAATAAAGCCACAACAGTCTTCCTTCCCCCTCCATAAAAAGCATGATTATGAGTTATGATAAAAGCTTCAGTGACCTGGAGGGAAGGATGGGGGAAGGGGAGACCTTTCACTTACAAAGCCTGAAAATTGGTATATTTTTGTTTTTTTGCTTTCAGATTTTGTACTTCAGCTGCTGATATGAAAATTAGATTATTTACTTCAGATCTTCAAGATAAAAATGAATATAAGGTATGTTGACAACTGTCTAAATCTTTAGAGTTTATTTTAAAACGTGTTTGTTTTTTGCTTTTTTAATTGGATTTATTCCAATTTAAAACGGCTTTTTATGGTCATCATTAAAGTATATAATTTAGGGTCTCATTTACTCTAGGTTATAGTAACTAGCTTACTATATTACTAAGAACTAGGTTCTTAATAATGACTGCAGGTTATAAATCTGGTATCTCTTATTGAAATATTAGGTAGGAACAACAAATAAGAAAGAATTAGAAATTTACAGTTGGATATAGTAGAAGTATGATAGACATGACCATTCATAGAGTAAGAGTTGAACTTCATGGGAACAAATGATCAGTACAGCATAGCACAGGCAGGATTCCAAAGTGGTTAAGAGCACAGACACAGAAGCCAGATTCCTTGCATTTTAACCCCAGTATTATTACTTAGTAATGGTGTGACCTTGGTTGAGTAACCTAATCTCTTTGTGCTAATATCCTTACCTATAAAATGTGGGTAATCATAGCAGCTGCCTTATAGGATTACGAGCATTGACTGAGCAAATTCATATAAAATGCTTAGAATAATGTTGGTACATAGTAAACGCCGTATGTGTTTTCTGTTACTGTAATAATAACCCTCAGATTGGGTTGAAATTGCATCATGTTTTCTTATAAGAATGGTATTGCCTTCTTGGCTTTCTAATAAGCCAAAATATGAATATTGTTATAAAACAAAGATAAATTATAAACCTTTCCAATCATTTAGAAAATAGTAAAAAAAAAAATATGCTGTAAGCTATTTACAATGGGCTTAATGTACTGTATGGATTGGTTAATTTAAGGCTGTACCAGAAATAACCAAGTATATAAATGGCACATAAAATTTTGACTTATCCAAAGTTAATATGCTAGTTATAATACACATTAAACATTTACTGTTAATTTAGTTTGTCTTGTAGACTGTGACAGAAGCTTTGGAGAATGATTTGGAGGACCTGGGTTTATTAAAGTTGCTCAGGAATGTTTGACCTAAATCCTTTTTTTCTTTTTTAATGTTATATTTCTACATAGTGAGCAGTACTATATAGAACTGCTTTAATAACCTCAGAACTGAGATCAAATTTGAGTTTTTGGAAAGAAGGAAGGGTAGAAAGAATGATAACCATTAAAGTAATTATCTGACAGGCCTATTTAGCATTTCAACTATGAAGATTTAGCCTTACCTGCTCACACAGTCCTCCACTGTGCAACTTCTCATTTGTTGCTTCTGTGTCAAGGAGATTTTTTGTGTTTGTGATGACTATGGGCTTATAACAACTAGCTGTCTTCACTGCTGGCAGTCACATTGAGCGTGTAAATGAAGGCATTAGATGGGGAAGTCTATCCTGTGTATGTTCGTTAAGTAGTAGTGAGTATACAGAACAACAGATATAAGGTAAAAAGCCTAGAGGTACTCTACCTCAGTACCCTAAAAAGTTCCTAAATGTACCCTAAAAAAGTACCCCTCCGTACCCTAAAAAGTACCCCTAAAAAGTTTTCTAGCTCTAATTTTTATTTAGGCTTTATATAATAAGTGAGAAAGGAGGTGATATGAGGACAGGTACAATAAAAATGCGTGTGTGTTTTTGTAAGAAATGCATACTAGAAAAGAAAGACTAAGCTAATAATGTGTTGAATGATCAATTTCTTTCCAAGATAAACCTTCCAGAAAAGTGGGTGTATAAATCATGCTTTAAAAATAGCAGATTGCTTAAGAAATATTTATAGAAAAACATGCAGTGAAAGCTTTTAAGGCAGTGAAGCAAAAATATTATGTAGGAATATTGTAGGTTATTTTTCCTTTTTCTTACTAAGCTTTCTCTTTCTGTTAGGTTTTAGAGGGCCATACAGATTTCATTAATGGTTTGGTGTTTGATCCCAAAGAAGGCCAAGAAATTGCAAGTGTGAGTGACGATCACACCTGTAGGTATGTCGCTTATGTTATAACCACATTTTTAAATTGTCATTTTATTGAGAATTACATTTTTAAAATGAGAAAACAATGTGACTTTTATATAAATTCTACAGTGTTGTAAAAGAAGCATACCTTATTTGAACTGTTGGTATGGCACACACGAGTTTCAAAACCAGTGAGATGAGTCCTCATCGCCATTAATGAAAACTTCCCTTGCCTCCCATGTGTGTCTTTTATCTCTTATTTCAGATTTTCACATTTCTGAAATCCAAATCTATATTGGGCTGGGCACAGTGCCACACGCCTATAATCCCAGCTCTTTGGGAGGCCAAGGTGGGCGGATCACCTGAGGTCAGGAGTTAACGACCAGCCTGACCAACATGGCGAAACTCCATTTCTACTAAACATACAAAAATCAGCCATGCATGGTAGTGCACACTTGTAATCCCAGCTACTCGGGGGGCTGAGACAAGAGAATCGCTTGGACCTGGGAGGCTGAGGTTGCAGTGAGCCAAGATTGTGCCACTGCACTCCAGCCTGGGTGACAGAGTGATACACCATCTCAAAAAAAAACACACACACACACACAAACATACATTGGATCAAATTCTTCAATATTGGACAAGATGAGTAGGAGTAAAATGCCGTTGTCAAGTTACTTCACAGATGTTGTATAAGTTAGTGTGTAATAATGAACTATGACTCTCATTTGCTACATAAGACTGATGGAAAATTTAGTGTTTTGATAAAATCAGTAGTTTCTTTTTTTTTTTTAATTATACTTTAAGTTCTAGGGTACATGTGGATAACGTGCAGGTTTGTTACATATGTATACTTGTGCCATGTTGGCATGCTGCACCCATCAACTCGTCAGCACCCGTCAACTCGTCATTTACATCAGGTGTAACTCCCAATGCAATCCCTCCCCGCTCCCCGCTCCCCGTGATAGGCCCCGGTATGTGATGTTCCCCTTTCCGAGTCCAAGTGATCTCATTGTTCAGTTCCCACCTATGAGTGAGAACATGCAGTGTTTGGTTTTCTGTTGCGATAGTTTGCTGAGAATGATGGTTTCCAGCTGCATCCATGTCCCTACAAAGGACACAAACTCATCCTTTTTTATGGCTGCATAGTATTCCATGGTGTATGTGTGCCACATTTTCTTAAGTCTGTCACTGATGGATATTTCGGTTGATTCCAAGTCTTTGCTATTGTGAATAGTGCCGCAATAAACATACGTGTGCATGTGTCTTTATAGCAGCATGATTTAGAATCTTTTGGGTATATACCCAGTAATGGGATGGCTGGGTCATATGGTATTTCTAGTTCTAGATCCTTGAGGAATTGCCATACTGTTTTCCATAATGGTTGAACTAGTTTACAATCCCATTAACAGTGTAAAAATGTTCCTATTTCTCCACATCCTCTCCAGCACCTGTTGTTTCCTGACTTTTTAATGATTGCCATTCTAACTGGTGTGAGATGGTATCTCATTGTGGTTTTGATTTGCATTTCTCTGATGGCCAGTGATGATGAGCATTTTTTCATGTGTCTGTTGGCTGTATGAATGTCTTCTTTTGAGAACTGTCTGTTCATATCCTTTGCCCACTTTTGGATGGGGTTGTTTGTTTTTTTCTTGTAAATTTGTTTGAGTTCTTTGTAGGTTCTGGATATTAGCCCTTTGTCAGATGAGTAGATTGCAAAAATTTTCTCCCATTCTGTAGGTTGCCTGTTCACTCTGATGGTAGTTTCTTTTGCTGTGCAGAAGCTCTTTAGTTTAATTAGATCCCATTTGTCAATTTTGGTTCATAAGTTTTTTTTTAGATACAATACATTTAACTATTATGTTCTTCTACCTCACCCTCTAATTTAGAACAGATGAGGTAGCTATAACATTTTAATAGTGCCTAAAGCTGGAGAATTTTACAAGTAAAGAACAAGATGAAAAGGAAGAATAGCAGGTGGAAATAAGCTGAGAAGTCAGGAGTGGAATGAGTGCAACAGTCATTGGAAGGGTGTCAGTTGCTTCATTTGCTTTAACAATACTGAGGAAGAGAAAAACTGCTCTGCTGTTTTGCATAATGTTTCATAAAACTCTGCCAAAATCCTTAGTATTTATTAGTACTTATGTACATGTAAAACTATTAAATATGTATGAGTTCACATTAGAAGTAAAGCTGCTAGCTACTTTTTAAATTTTTAATCTTCTTAATATAGCTCATCTTTTTAAAGTGATAGAGTCATAGGCCATTATTCTTTATGTACTGTCTGTTAAAATTTTCATGTCAGAGATATGAAAGATTTACATGACATTAAGATTCTAGAGCCCCAGGTACTACAAAATCAAGTTTGTATAGTGACTTGAAGAGTAAATGGAATTGTTTTAAGGTAAAAATTCAATCACTGGAAATAAATAATGGCATTTCAGCCCTTTAAAACATAAGACTGTCCTAATCACAAGCATTTGGAATAATGAAATCTGCAAAGGGGGAAAATGAGTGTCTCTGCAAGCCAAGGAATCGCCTCTGAATAGTGAACAAAAGCCAGAGAGACCTAGGATCACACTCAGTATCAATGTTTTTGTTTGTTTGTTTTCTTATGACTCAGTTTTTTTGTACACTAGCAAAATTATCTAAAAATTTAGGGGACTGACATAGGGTTGATAACTTTTTATTTTGTCAAATGTAAGACTCTTACGTTTACTGCCTTCTACCATTATCATTTTATAAAAGAAAGGACATTATTACTCTAAAAAGTAGGAAAGGCATAACTAAAGAGTAAGTCTTTTCATTTAAATAAATCTAATTTTTTAAAACCTTACTACGTTGCTCCTAAGTTTCTCATTTTGCCAGACTGTGGTTGTTGATATTAGTGTTCAACAAATACTTGCTTTCCTTTCACGCTCCCATGAAAGGAGATTTTCCCACCTGATTGGCCCTACCTTTGTGAATTGTTTAGGCCAATGTAGCATTAACAGGTGTGACACAGCAGAAGCTTCAAATGTTTTGCCTGGCTTGACTTGACCTCCTGTGCTCTGTCATTTGCTATAAGATGAGCATGTCCTAGATAGCTACCAATCACAGAATGAGAAACACATGGAGCAGATATGGACCCATATGGCATTATGGAAACAGAGCTTCCCATAGACCCATGTGCAAGAAATTATGCTTATTTTTGTAAACCACTGAGATTTTCGGGTTGATGCACATCAAAGTATTTTTAGATTTTACAGCTTAGTTCACCAACCAAAAATAAACAACTCTGATTTGTTATTAAAGCCAAACCTCTTAGGCCAAAACCTAAGCAATACAGGTAAGAGTTTTTAAAAAAACAGAACACATATAAAAAGAAATTTAAAATGAGAAAGAGTAGATAGTATCATACACTCTCACAGCAAGAAAAGAAGGAATTCTGAGAGGACATGTGATAATGTAAGATTCTTATAATATCACTTATATATTCTTACATTATCACATATGTGACAAAAGAGACTATCATATGAGCAGTTCTACAGCATGTATTCTGTACTGTAAAGAGCAGACTCAGTGCTTAAAAAAATTTTAAATAACCTCAATATTTTGATCTATGCATATTTTCTGATGTTTGACTTTGACATTTCAAAGAAAGACACGATATTATAATCAGCTAGCAGAATTTTGCCCTAGGAACACAATTTTAAAACAATCTGTCACCTGAATAGGTTCATGAAATGTATGTGTTGTATTGAAAATTGCCAAATTATGAATCAAATAGAATAAAGAGTCATACTGTGAACCAAGGTACCTCTGATAATACAAAATGTTATTATGGAAGATGATAGATTACATTTTATCTAAGATTCCATCTAGTTTTACTATTCTGTGATCTATGCAAGTTTATAAGAAAATTGAGTTCTCATGAAAGTCGGTCTTTATCAGTTCCAACACTGCCCTTCTAACAAACATTTTATAATGCCTACCACACCTTTTTAAATGAAACTCACCGAAAATGTAGCCTTCCAAATATGTAAGTACAGAAAATAGTTATAGTCCCTTAATTTTATTATATATTTCTATAAAAGGAAAACCAATAGAATAATAATGCATTGTGTATAAGCTCAGATACAACTACATATGAAGACATAGTGAGGTAGTCTTTGTTGTTATTTACAACGAATAAGACTGGATATCAGAAAAATTAGATAACACAAAAATGTAAGGCAGAGGCAAGGCAGTCAACTTGCACAGTTGCAAGGATTTATGAGTTGTGTAGAGTATAATGTAAATAGTGCCATCTGGAGTTCTACAGGATCATAGCCCTGAGCAGATCTACAGTTGTAGGATAAAAGCTCATGTTAGTAGTAATAGAATGAAATTAAATCTCATAAGAGAAATAGGGAAATACAGATAATCAAAATAGGAATAACATAGCAAGATAAATCATAGGATGTCAAGTTGGAAAAATAAGGAAAGACAATATTCTTGCAAATCAGCTAGTTTTTATATGTACAGTATCAAAGTAATTCATTGTTATGCCATGGAATGAAATATTAATGAAGATTGCAGAAAATATCTCTTTTGAAATGCCCCTACTTTTTGGGATTTCTCAAGTTCACTCAGTCATTCAAAAGGCATATAAAATGACTAGCATCACTGGCTCTCATGTGCTAAATGTCTGTGGCACCCCAATAATCAGGACAACCAAAAATAGCCCCTTAGGTATTGGACCAACCCCTTGTTGAGGCTCATTGGTTTAGTTAATAATATGTGACCAGGCACTATCCTGAGCATTTTTTATGAATTCACTCATTTAATCCTCAAACACCTTATAGGATAGGTTCTTTTAGTATTCCCCTTTTATAGCAGTCTGTCTCTTAAGTACTGAAGTATACTGTTTCTACTTTAAGATTCTCTAAGAGATTTTAGACTTTTGGGGTTATTGAAAAAGCAATTGTTCCTATTAACTGTCCATTCTGATCAAAATCAAGCATTAGTTATAGCTTCATAAAATTGATAGAATTATATTTAGAATCATGT